ATTGCCGACATTTTTTTCCCGTTGTATCTATCTGTCTCTATCTTTTGTTGATGCCCCCACTGCTGACTAAATTTATAGCTGCCACTTTTAGGTTAACGTTCAAATGTTAACTAACCAACGACAGTCGTGTTGGTTGCTTAGATAAGTATACGTGAGATCTTCCAACACTAATGAAATATGGCTGTTTTCCTTACATTCAATCCATACTCGCGCACATTCCTAGTGTTGTTGCTCATGAGGGCTATTGTTTCTACATCTAGTTTGTGGTAGTCTATACACAAGTGTGAACAAATGTCCGTTCGCAGTACTGCAACTCGACCCAGAGACCTTTGGTATGTCAACTGATATCTCATGTTGAATGACGAAGTGGAAGGCATGTAGAAACACTTGTAAACGCCACACTTCAACCTGACAGACTGATAGCATTTTCACTCGCGCGACACCATTATCTGATGACTCGACGTCTAAATGTGACTCGACTAAATTACAAGTCCCGCTAACATCTGTTCGTATTTCGATACATTCCCACTTGCCAGATGGATCTTATTACATTCTCGTGTGACACCGTGACTTATTGCGGGTTGCAATATAAGGTCAATGTATCTCATCGCAAGTGTCTGTCTGTACGCACGCCCACTTGTACTGCTGCCTCCTTCAGGTAAACGCATTGAGATTCAGAAAAGTCATCAAGGTTGATTCCGGAACAACGGCAACACGTTGTGACATCCAAATCGAAATGCTTGGGTACACGTGGCATTCTAGACACTGATGAATGGGTCGACATATGCTAGCGGTCAGAACAAATGACCAGGGGGAAATAAATAGTAACACACGACGGATTGCCTGGTGGTTCTACATCCCTGTTGATTCTCGCTCATCTCGGACAAGAGACGATTATAACGGGCTCTGGTTTTACCTTACGACACGGATAACCTGCAGTGGACATACTCGCACTATTTCCCTGCTAACTTGAAAAGTTGCTTACTTCATCTACTTCATTTTCTTTGTGTCATCCATATTCTATATCCCACATGTAAGTCGCGTTTGGGTACAGTTTCATTCTAGAATGATTAACTACTGGCTTAGTGCAATGTGGTATTCTTATTGCACATGCCTAGAACGGATGAGCCACAGGTAACCTAACTTTATTAGGCTTATTTAACTCGGTTGTATTTCGCGATGACTTCACATGTTGCCCATTACAATAGTGTACTCATCATGACCTATGCTATGCTATTCTTGCTACCTTCTCAAACGGAGTCTATTATGGTTACATACCGAGACAGTGAGCTACGGCATCTTCCTCTTCGTATTATTATTCTGCCGCGATTCATATCACTATGTAAGCTCCATGGTATTACTCACCATAACCGTAGCTTGACCAGCTGCTCAATGCTAACTAACATGACGCTTAGAGAGCCGGTGCATCACAGAATAATGGTTCAGTCCATCCATGAGCTCATTCGTAATTGACGTGCGCGCGGTGTTTCCGAGCGAATTGTGGGCTTGATATGGATCCATGCTACGGTGGCAAATCATTGTGTATGTTTTCAGTTCGATGGATACTTTTGAATCAAAAGGTTCTCACGGCTTGCCCGCTTACAGTACGCACTAAGTGTAAAGCTTGACACTTGGAACACAATGCTGAACGATTGTCCCCGCTTGTGATCACATTGGACGATGCATTGGGAGAGAAATTTCCCTGGAAATTCTGCAGCAAGTGAACAATGCACACAATTAACCGACCAGCGATTATCACGTTGTCGACAGTTCATGTTCCGCTCCCCGCAGGTTAGTAATGAGAGGAAGCATAGTTATAGTTCCAGTTTTCCCTCAGCCATACTGAATTTACCGGGGCTTATGAAAATGCACGTACTAAGCGGATGGAATGCGGAAGCGCAGAGACGCCTATCAGAAATTGCATTGCACATGGCCAATCTGTTGGATAGACGAAGTAAAATGTTAAACCCAACGGGAATAGTAGGTCAGTGTATCAGTAAATTACATCGGAAAGGAATCGGCGCATAGCGACAATCGTTTCATGAGCACCAAATGGCTGCACCCGAAGACGTACGGTGCTGATCTTTATCAAATAGCTTATGGTCACAACAGAGTACACATGGGTATGTACAAATGTTGGAATACTTGGACATTTGCAAAACATTGCGAGCACTGTTTGGAAAGTCGCATGTTTGACAGAGGGCAACGGGACTTTGTTAATGTCACCTGTCATTATCAAAGGTTACGCATCAATCGCTCTTTGAGAATGTTCACGTACCTCGGGTAGCAAATGACCGGACCGATGGGCGACACGGAAAGCCAGAAGTAGACACTTCATCACATTCGCATGCTGTGCGATCTCCCCCCTCAGCTAGGCAAAACAGACTATACATGTAGACGGCAACACCTAAGTGCACACTATTTCACTGTACTAGTAGTTTAGTTATCCTTTTACCTAGCAGTTGCTTCACTATTGCTTTAATGGGTTCCTTCAAATATGGATGCCCAAGATTTAAGGCTGTCGCGTCTAAATGTAGAAGAAAACATTAACAGTTTGTATTGGGTACTTATTCTCATGCCTGCGAAAGTGGTTGTTGGTCTGGCCTCCAAACGAAACCCATACACGTTTGTCGTACCATTGGTCATGAGGTCTAATGTGTCTATACCCAATTTGTGACAGCTCACACTTCAGTTTGAATAAACGCATATACATACATTGTATTCGAACTGCCATTGGACACATTGGATGATCCCAATCCATGTACATATGTATATCGAATGAATTCGACGAGGATACTCATACCGCTTTTGTACGACCAACTTAGTGCAGGAAAACGGCACTCGGGCAAACCGAAAATAACATTATCAGAACATGAAGTTGGTGAGTTTATTACAAACTAATGTTGATTACAGGTGTTGCGAATCCAAGACAAATTTTGATCAATGCGAATTCTATGGACTACTATAAAGGGTGGTTGCTCCGGGGCAGGAGAAGGCACTATTGCAGGTGGAATAGAAGCACTGTGAGTACGCTCCCATTCGATTTACTAATCCAGGCCAATAAGGCGGCGTATGTGGTACGTTTGCCTGCGTGCTGAGTAATCTTGCATTGCAGAAGTAGATGTTGCTTGATATCCCCGGTGTGGATGCGCCTGATGTGAATGTTGACAAGGTGCCTACCTGTCTATTACCCACTACCTCGTCCATACTGGCTCCAGGAGACAGTTGGTCGTTGTTGGTTGGGACGGGGTGCACCGTCCTCTTGAAGGTGCTAAGCTCAAAGAGTGGTTCCATGCAACCTGTGTGGAACGGGCTACGGTCCAGCCACCGCCTCGTGTACGTCTGGTGTGCATGATTTCCCAATTAGACCGGAATGCTTCTGTTCTGCTTGTCGAAGGAGTGTGGGCCGGCTTCGTTGATGAAACGTGGTTCCCATCCGCATGCCTCCCGGTCTTATTCCTTTGAGTTCACACCGGATATGAGGTGTGTGGTTGGGGCAGCGCAAGCCACCCATGATCCTCTGTAGGCGCAGGCGTCCTGTGACTGTCCCTGTGGAGGTCACAGTGACAAGCAAATCCGGATACGGACGCCGCCATATTATGTTTGCCCCATGCTGAGGCTGATGTTGCATTCATGATGCTTCTTCACTGCAGTTAGGCTAAACCAACTTACACTTAAACTAAGTCTTTTTAATGTGGATAAAATTCACTACATTTTATTTGGTTTGTTCTGCGTACTTGATAATCTTCTCCCAGTTTATACACGTCGCTCATGCAAATTGTGGTAAACTTGCGTAATTTTATCGCATGGTATTTTTTAAAATAACTCTCGGACATCTCGTGCTTATCGCGTATTCACCTTTAACCAATTTCTTTCATATGCTCATTTTACGCGTATTTACGTCGTCATATGCGTTTACTTTATTCGATATCGGCATTTCGAATGATTGTTTGACATCCCAGGTATGGCTGCGCTTGATGTGTATGTTGACAAGGTGCCTACCTGTCTATTACCCACTACCTCGTCCATACTGGCTCCAGCAGACAGTTTGTCGTTGCTGGAGCGGACGGAATGCACGGTCCATGTGGCCGTGCTAGGCTCGAAGAGTGGTTCCATGCACTCAGTGTAGAGCGGACTACGATCCAGCCACCGCCTTGTGTGCGATTGATTCCCAAATACCGTGTGCTTGTGTTTGCCTGTGAAGGAGTGTGGGCCGGCTCCGTTGAAAAAACGTTGCTCCCATCCACATGCCTCTCGGTCTTATTCCTTCGTGTTTACACTGGATATGGGGTGTGTGTATGGAGCTGTGGGTGGTGCAGCGCAAGCCACCCATGGCCCCTCTGTAGGCGCAGGCGTTCTGTGGCTGGCCACAGTGACAGGCAAATCCGAAACCGGATGCCGCCAACCATATATATATATATATATATATATATATATATATATATATATATATATATATATATATATATATATATATATATATATATATATATATATACTGATGGTTATGCAACCTGAAAACCAATAGTCAAGATTTCTATTACGTCTTGGTGTTAAGGAGATGGAATTTACTTTCTGCAAAACGTTGTTCTTCGCGTACACGCCCTGACAATAGAGAAGCGATGTTAGAACTTCCTTTTCCATCTACTCGGGTTTAAATACCAACATTTTCCAGGTGAGATGCCCCAGTGGTCATGGGGAATGCGGAAAGCGATAACATTGTGGTCAGCATTTTTCGGGACAGTCATATAGATGAACACGAGCGAACCCCACACCGGACCGGTGGGTCAAACCAGATAACATCGGAACGCTCGTGTGCATTTTCAGTGTTCATCTCTGCGTCCCTACTCTGTCCATTTTGTTTCTCACGTACTTGTTCTATCCGCAATATACCACTTTCACATTGCGATCGCTTAAACTCGCGATCGATTCGTGTTTCTAATGATCCCTTCTCTTTTTTTAGCCTGCTATACTTTTATAAATAGTATTGTCACTTGTCGATGAATTTCACTTTGGGACAACTCGCTTCGGATGCACTCGAGCCTTCGTATTATGACATTATTGGAGTGGACCCGAGATCTTCGGTTTCTGTTACACGCACCTGAAATCTCATGACTGGTTCTCTTTCAGACTGAGCAAATTGAAGCTGAGTTTCGTTTAAAGGCCCGAATGTTTCATCCGGACAAGAACAAAGATGTGGAATCTAGTAAATCGTCTGTTCTTTTTCTGTACCGCTATGCAGCGGCTGCATTTCAGCGTATAAACCGGGCCAAAGAAGTCCTGACGAATCCGGCGTTACGGAACCAATACGAGTCATGGTTTCACTGTAGTATAGAGATCCCTTTCGAGCAGTGGTTAACCGTTAATAAAAGCATGCACTCGGTACGCATGTCTTGTTGCAATTATTGCTCCTAGTGTATGCACTGGGGCTCTCCCACAGTCGAACCCAAAATGCTACAGAATGGTGGGAGTGCTAAGGTCCTCTCTCCAATTAACGGCGTATTTAACGAACCTCTTCCCGTGGCAGCTGCGTCTAGCCTGTTGGCACGTTTTCGCGCTTATCAGATTTGAAACCCCGCCGTTCTTTTCCACGCAGTTCTGTTCTTCCCATATTTCAGATTCCTATGAACCGCTCTGGGACCATAGCCGTCTTTGAAGAACACTTCTTTCATTATCATCATGTTTAATCTATTTTTGTTATCCGTTACTTTCTAACTTGCCATTTTCTTCATTATATATTATACTCTTTTGTCTTCAAAAATTTGTTCTTCATACCTGTCTTATGTCTCTCTCAGCTGGACGGTATACACGTAGCGGAAACGGCAATGCTCTTAGGGCTTATTGTTTGGCTATAAATGAGAGTTTAACAAGATGGCTTACCTTGTTCCCTAGATCGTCATTGGACCGCTGTCTAGACGGTAATCCACTTCTTGCTTAGGCATGAAACCACAGTATGGTTTGTAGTTGGCTCCGGACCCTGTGACTTCTAAATGGGCTCTCGCTTATACCATTTATTCTATTCCTCAGCTATCAATAGCTATTCTTCTCTCACATATGTGAGAACCAGGTATGCCTTCACTTTACATAACTCACGAAATTTCCCCCTTGCCTATACCTGTGCTCATGCAAGGTGTATAGGCCCATCTGCAGCATGGTAAGAGGAGCGAGGCTGAGTGATCGAAATATTCGTTTCGGCCAAGTATTGCAATGTAGGCTGACATGAACCCTATCAGGAGTACCGCCTACCGCCAGACTGTTAGTTGTCCAGTATGGCGCTCCTATTTCCGGAAGAAAGTAATTATCTATACGGTTTCTATCAAGTTAGTCTGAATCTAAATCTCACCGAATAGATTTTGCTAATACCTTACGCACTCAAATACATATTCGTGGCACATTAGTATCTCCGCTGTATAAAACTAAAATGACCACCGCCGATGCGACAATTTTGAACAGGCAATCACAGCTATGTTGTTGTGATTTAAATTTGCCTTCAGAGATACGGACTTATAACCCTAACATCACTCAAGGGAAATTGGCGTCTTACTGTGATGTTTCTTATCGTCTCCACTCACGTGGGCGCGGAATATTTATTACACCTTACTGCAAATCAGCTACCGTTGGCGCACACAACTGAGGCTTAACAGATAGACCACATCTTTGGTACTCTCTCGGTCGAGGCAGATCTTGTATCGCTTCTGACGCTTAATTCAGTCTATGTTACCACCAATGACGTGTACTCTGAAAGATCACGAGAGTAGGCAGCTATTCCGTGCTGACGTACAATGTCGAAACGAACGAGCAATGGTCGCTGAGATTCAAACGTCACTTGTCGATCGAGACCCTGACGATCCATTCAACGAATGTCCACTACGCATTAGAGCACGGACGAAATCAACTCGACTGTTGATGAAGTGTCTGCAGCAAAATTGCCCAGTACGAAAACATCTCAAAACCAGTATGACTCACTAACTTTTCACTTTGACTTGATTTTCTACGCATGTGATCCGTTCGGACAGATGTACATTCCTATTAATAGAAACCATTCGTGTATGCAACCACTGCTATCTGGATATGCAGCGATTATAGTCTGTTTCTAAATTAACCAGGCGACTCCGGTCATTGGCGTCTCACAGTCTGATTTATCAATTGAGTGTGATCCGACAAGCGGATGACGTGACATCTGTCCCCGTGGTTATAACAGTCATATGGGCTGATTGAAAGTAGGGCAAATTCGCAGGAAAATAAAAGCTATGGCGCTGTGTTCAAGCATAGTGGTTAATAGCTAGCAGCAGTGGATCGAGTACTTAAAGCAATACTGATTTCTAGACCACACTAATTCGGAAAAGGTTTCACCGCTGTTGTAATTGGCCTTTAGCTAGCAAAACTCTTCAGTATAGTAAACGTTGACGCAACTCTGACAGCCACCTACACAGTATGTCCACTAGATACAATTCAAGCTTCGAAAGATGCAGTAGTCCGGTGCGATCGCGTCCAATGTTGTTATGGCCTGTTTCGCGGTCGGTTAACACCTCTGCTAAGTCCTTCTAGCATACTCCGCCGTATTGTCACTAATGTGACCTAAGGAAGAGTAACTAATGTATAATGGTATGCCTATTGTTCAAATGGGCGAGAGGATATCCCTGGAATTATGGACTTATCATTAGTACAGTTATGATCATGCTCATGCATGAGATATGTATTCGGTAGCGTTCGTGTTATTGGAGCATTCTGAAACAGATGGCTTTTGTTGGTGCTGTTTTGTGCAACAGCATTTCCCACTCGCTACTTATTCTTTAGTCCATCTTAGAACAATTCCTTTGGGGTCTTTCCCGATGAGATCATTATCGAGTTCTGGTTCATAAATTTTCACGTTTCGCGCAGAATGTTCTTGTATTTTTACCGCTCCTGATAGTGGCGGGACAGCGTGTCTGGCGAGGAAGAACCTAAACTGAATAACTGTCCTGGTTTTTCGCACGTTAAGCTTTCAACTGTTATATAAAAGTCTTCGTGCGAAGTAGTGTTGCAGTTTAAATGTACAATTCAGTCGTCGCAACCAAAGGGACTCGAGCTCACGCTGCTAGCAACGCTCATGATAGCTCAATGTGGGCGATTTGCTGAACAAACGTTTAGCTAATGATCTTTCCATGTTTTCTAGAGCTTTTCCGTCAACTATTCGCATATTTCCATAACTAATGCTGCGATATTCAGGGATGGGTTGGTGATGACGCATTTAGTTTGTCGTTGGCGGCGATTGATTACCATGCACGCAATGACGTAGTGTTTAACGATTTAGCTAGTAATCCCTTTCCGGTATCGAGTTTCCGTTTCACCGACGAATGTGAACAGGCGCGCAACCAGTAGTACAGTGCAGTGTTTTTGGGCCGTAAGGTTTAAGTTTTGCTTTGCACCCTCTTCGTTCTGTACCACATGTGCAGATAGACCCCTCAACGCTATCTGTACGCTTTCAGGGCTGTCTTTTCTCCGTCCATTAGATTTCAGTTGATATTTTGCTGGGTGAAATCAAACACATTTTTTTAACTCGGGGAAAACAACTAATGTGAGGTGACATTTCGTCAGCTGACGCCGAACGAATGGGCGCTCGCAGTGTGGTCACCTTTGTTATAACTCGGTCTTCTGGTATCTCATCTGATCTAATCCAGTAGTTTCTATGTTTAAAATAGTCACTTAACAATTTGAAAAACACGGAAAGAAGACGGAGGCCGTTAGATACATGCATTTCGTATCTTATCTTTGGTACCATTAACAATATCTGTTATGCATACATATAGCTGACAATGGGTGCGACCAAATACGTTTTAAGTGCAGGGTGATTGACGGAAGTTCACTCCTAGACCGACGAATAATTGTTTTTGAACACACGGGGCCGGCTTATTGCAAATGCTACAGTAAACTGAACAAAGCGGGGATTAGCATGACGTAATGGAACCTGAGATCAGGTTTCTTGCCGTATGAGGAAGCTGGTAGCCTACGCGAGCACGAAAGTTGTGAGGGTAGGGTTATGGGGAATTTCCTGTTAGACCCATCTCGACACATGTTCCTTCCTATACTGACTGAACTTTTATGCTGATGATCTCGCTGGCACTCTGAATGGTCGGATTTTCGCACTCCGATGAGGATTAACAACCACCTCTTCTGGCGTATCAGACACACCAATTTTTCAAAGTCCTAAGGAGTCGCTAGTTGTGTTATTCCAACTATCCTTGTTCAGAGTTTCGGTCTCCGTGTCTACTGTGATTCAAATGGAACAGGCTATTTACGAAACTGTCTAATGTCGTATCAATTCTTAAGATACTCTTTTCAGTACTTATTCTATTTATGTGGCATTTTCTTGGTCTGCAACTATCAGATGTTCATGATATAGTTGGAGTAGCCTACGAAGATATCTCTGACTAGTTGTCTCTCATATGAACGGTCAGATCGCCTCTTTACCCTATTCTCTACAAGGATTACAAGGTATATTTGGAACTTCACCAAGCTATTGGCCATGTGGAAACCTGCGCATTGGACTGCTTTCGTTACTGTCTTTCACACTGATAAATACCGGATTACTGTCATTTCCACTGAATCTAACCCCATCCGGTAAATTGATATACTCATGAGTATGGATTTTGATGTAAATAATTAGGGGTTGTTCACAATAGCTTCCAAGTCATATAGGCACCACACCCGTTAAAACACTAGATGGTCATTTAGTCCAATCGGGACTCATCAAAACATTCGGCGTAACAGCTTCTAACCGCTGCGTCGTACGTGGTTTCTATCAGTGTAAATGGTGACCCTTGGGTCCAACCTGTCCTCTGCAGCATGTGTAACTTACATGACGATGGATTATAAGACGCGTTAGATCGTAGTTAGCTTGTAAGTCATGACGATTCACAACTGTCCGCCTATGAATTAGTTGCATTAATCTGCTGGCTAAAAGCGCAAACTGATAGTGGTCATGAGCTCGGAGCCTGATGTGCCCTACCGATGAGTCTCGATAGGACGAAACGACCCTCCAGTGCTTTTCCTGGCATGTGCAGGACTAACTAAAATTGGAACTTAATGCGAAGAACCTCCCATGATTTGTTATGCTTTTGACTTGTTTAGGTACATCTGTGTGTCCGTCATCATCTCAACCGACTGTTGAAATGTGGTGGGATGCAGCACACAAACTATCGACGCCCTGGCCCTTGTCTCATCCTATGTGACACTTGTACACGCACCTTTTCCTCTAGCAGTTGGTCGTAGTATGATCGATCTGCGTACGTGACTGGTGGATATCGGATAAATGTCACAATTAGGCCGACAAATCCATTGCACTTCGTGCTATGCCCATGGCTAATGAAATGGATTGCATGTGCTCCACAGTCACGTACTCACTGTACGTGACTAACTGTTATGTTACCAGAGTTTCGATTTGGCAACTTCCTATGTTGCGCCTCGCGAGCCAAAATTCAACCCACCGGACGAGTAGTATATTGGCGAACACAAAACCGGTGGACATGGGATGAAAACGCATCGATACAGTTTGAATCACGGGACGTGTGAGTGGTGTGAAACAAGCGAGA